GCTGCGGCGGCGGCGGCCGCAGTGACGACGGCTGCGACAGCGATGGCGACGGCGGCTGCGGAGGTGGCGGAGGAGGAGACATCTGAGAAGGGGCAGGCAGCGAGGACTGCACCGCAGGACTACCAGAGTCAGCAGACTCCTCAACCGGGACAACCGACGTAAGTGGGGTGACGTGGGACACACCAGGGGGGGCAGGACGGCGAGGGGGAGGAGGAGGGGCGGCAACAACCTGGGAAGGGGTGACGAGGAACAGGGGGGGGGGTAACCGGGGGACCTCGGTTGGGGAAGCGGCGGAAGAAGGAGACGGACTCGTCAAAGGAGACGTCACGGGAGTGAAAGAACCGGTGAGACGGCGGGTGGTAGAAGTGCCAGTCAGATGCGTCAAAGGGGAAGCCGAGGAAGACACAGTGAAGGGTGCGGGCAGTGAGCTTGTCCGTGCCACAGGCACGAACGTGAGCAAGGCAGCCCCAGACGTGGAACGCAGACGCGTCACCTGGTGACCCAGACCAGAGGAGGGTCGGCGAAACCTGAGGCTGCTGGAAGTCCGGCCACAGGTTAAGCTGGTGAGCGGCGTAGCGAACGGCGAACGGCCACAGAAAATGGGGTGCCCCGGCATGGATCATGGTGGTGCGAGCCACCTCCATGACCAAACCGATGCGTCGCTCAGCGACCCCATTCTGCTGTGGGGAGTCTGGCAAGGTGAACGTCTGGGCGATGCCCTCCGCACGACAGAAACGACCAAGGACACCAGTGGCAAACTCGCTACCACGGTCGGAGTGGAGACGCAAGATAGGGAGTCCGCGATGGACACGCGCAGAGACAAGCCACGGGATGAGAATGTCAGGCACGTCGGCCTTCCGCTCCAGGGGGAATACAGTGGTGTAGCGCGTGTAGTCGTCGACAAGCACTAGGAAGTAGCGCTCTCGACGGGGCCCATGGACGGGGGCTGGGCCCCAGACGTCCATGTGCAGAGTTTGTAGCGGTGCTGCAGTAAGGGCAAACGAGGAGGAGTGAGGGGCATGGCGGAGCCGGCCCTCGATACAGGGCGTGCACGGTGGGGCTGGGGAGGAGGGAAACTCGGGGAACGACCCGGGGAGGCCAAGGACGAGACCGTGCTGTGACATGTGACGCAGACGCGGGAGCGCAGGGTGACCTAGGCGGTGGTGCCTGAGAAGAGTCAGGTGGGTGAGAGACCGACAGGAGCAGGCAGCAGCATCCGGGGGAGACGCAACCACCCGAGGAGGGGTCCGAGCCGGGGGGGTCACCGTGTCTAGTGTGAAAAGACCGAACATCGGGTCCCAGGGTAACGTGGACAGGGGGGCACCTGTGGCAGCCTCGGTACAGACAGCGTATCGCTCGTGTCCAGGGAACGTAGTGGTGACGCCAAGGTCATGAAGGCGGCCGACACCAACTAGGTTCCTGGAGAACGAGGGGATGTGTAGACCTGTGAGCGAGCCCGAAGGAACCGCCGGGCAGGGGAGGGTGGTGGAACTGCGGGCGACTACTGGGCCGGAGGAGGGGTCAGCAAGAGAGACTGCGGCAGGGACAGGAAGCGGTGTCAAAATGGTGGATTCGCGGAAGAAGCACCGGGAAGCGCCAGAGTCGAGGGTGAAGGAGAGCGCGGCAGTGGCGGCTGGAGGGGAAGCAGCGACGGAAGCACCAAGGCTAAACAAAGCAGGGGATCCTACGCTTGACGCAACAGGGTAACCTAAGCAAGGCACACCTACTTTAGGCAACAAGGGGTAATAATGCGGAAGCACACTAGAGTCATCAGCATACATCACATGCAGAGCAATAACAATCTCATCCATATCCAGATCAAAAATCTGAACCCTACGACGAAGCAAACTGTCCAGTCTGGGAGCTCGGGCGTCGGGCCGAAACGCTGACGAAACAGGTCGTCCAGGCGACGGAAACAGCGGACTGAGGTGTGACCGATCTTTCCGCAAGCGAAGCCACGACAAGGACTGGTCTGGAGCAGGTACTGACAGCGCGCGTCACCCGAACCACCACCCAGCAGCCCACGACGCGCACCACCACCACGTCCAGCGCTACCACCAGCGCCAGGCCACCCGGGCGGGAGACCGCTCGCCCATCTCTGCTGCGGCTGCTGCTACTGCTGTGACTGCTGCGGCTGCTGCGGCTGACGCGAGTCCGGCTGCAATGCCGGCGGCTGCTGAGACAGCTGCTCGGCTGCACCTAGCAGGGTCCCCTCGTCCGCACCACCACTAGGAGACCCAGCTCCACCACCACCTACACCTGTACCCCCACCCCCGCCGCCACGCCCAGCCTTGGGGTGGCGACCCTTCCCAGGACGGACCTGTGCTGCAGCTGCAGTTTTAGCCACAACAACAGAACCGTCAGAGTAGGTGCACTGAGCGGGGGCGCAACCCTGAAAGATAGGGACTGGCACAGTACCGCTAGTCTGAGCGATAGAGCGGTGGCGGGCCTCTATAGCGGACAAGGTGTCGACAAAGTCAGTGAGGGTGAGGTCTGCGGGGTGGACGCTAAGGAAGTGGTCACGGGCAGTGGCAAGACGGCCAGGGAGGCCGGTGGCTGGCAGGTAGAGAGTAGAGGTGAGGGGCGGCTAATGGGCTAGAAGCTGTGTGGGAGTGCAGGCAACACGCCAGGTCTCGTCTATAGTGCGCAGGTGAGCGGCCAGGTCGGCGACTGTGGGGAACGACGCAAGGTCAGGGAAGAGGATGGGGAGGGTCAGACGACCGACCGAGGGAGCAGGCGGGGTGGAATAGCGCTAGACAACAGCATCTAGGAAAGCCTGGGCAGTGGTGATAGACCTGAAGCGCGGTCGCTCGGACATGGGGAGGGCATTGCTAATGGCAAGCTGTGCGACATCGTCACGGGACAGCCAGACAGAGCGAGCAAGGGCAGTGGCCGCAACGGACTCACGCTCAGTGGACGAGGGATCAGTAGACAGTGGAGCGGGGGGGTCAAGGCAGAGGAGAGTACCGTCAAGATGGACAGACAGAGAGTGGCCATCCTGCCGCTGACCAGTGAGGTGGTGACAGGGGTTAGCAAGCCACGCATCAAACTCAATCGGCTGGCCCTTAGCGTCAAAGCGAAGCACCGCCGCCATCAGTGACAATAGAGGGTAGTGGAGAGCAGTACAGTGCGATGCAGTGCGGCGCAGTGTGGTATAGTGCGGTTCAGTACGGTGCAGTGCGGTGCGGTGCGATGAAGTGCGGTGCAAGGCGGCCTAGTACGGTACCGGGGGGGTTCGCAGGGCAATGCTGATTGGGAGGAACGGGCCGAACCCGAGGCGGCGGCGGGCTGGCGAAGACGCGAATGCAGGAGCCGGCTGGCGGACGGCAGACGCGAGGGGCCAGCAAACGGCGGCAACGGGGGCCGGCGAGGAGCTGGCGCGACGGCGAGTAGGGCCAGCCACGACGGCGAGGAGACACGGCCGCGATGGCGGCCAGGGACCGCCGCGTCAGCGGCTAGGGGCGGCCGCGACGGCAGGAGTGACCGTGAGGCGGCTGGAGATGGCAGCGACAGCAGCTAGGGGCGGCCGCGACGGCGAGGGGGGGGCCGGCTAGGGACGGGCGCGATGGCCAGGGGGGCGGCTAGGGGCGGACGCGACGGCCAGGGGGTCGGCTAGGGGCGGACGCGACGGCCAGGGGACCGGCTAGGGACGAGCGCGACGGCCAGGGGGCCGGCTAGGGGCGGACGCGACGGCCAGCGGGCCGGCTAGGGACGGGCGCGACGGCCAGGGGGGCGGCTAGGGGCGGACGCGATGGCCAGGGGGCTGGCTAGGGGCGGACGCGACGGCCAGGGGGTCGGCTAGGGGCGAACGCGACGGCCAGGGGGCCAGCGAGGGACGGACGCGACGGCCAGGGGGCCGGCTAGGGGCGGACGCGACGGCCCGGGGGCCGGCTAGGGACGAGCGCGACGGCCAGGAGGGCCGGCTAGGAGTGGGGCACGACGGTGGCTAGGGCCTAGGGGGCGGAAGCGAGGGCGGGCTAGGAGGGGAACCTAACCTACTATGATACCATATCAGAAAGAATAATTGAACTAGAATGTGTGAGTACAAGGGTATATAGACTAGGGTGCTGTACGCTCTAAGGCACAATCCAGTATAGCCTACAGTAATGACCTAAGTTACATTTAACAATTATTGCATTCTAACATCTTTCTTACATGAATATGGTGCCCTATATTTTAAATTTCATTCCTATCACCATTCCATTCAATTTGCATATGTACGGTACTAGTAGGATGTATGGTGTATTTCATACAGTTCTATCACCTCAAACATATGGCACACCATTTTCCTATAAATGATACCACGTTACCTTCTGTCTCTATAAAGGATTTTCACTGCCCTGCTTCCCCCCCTTCCACTGCCCGGCTTCCCCCCCTTCCACTGCCCTGCTTCCCCCCCTTCCACTGCCCTGCTTCCCCCCCTTCCACTGCCATGCTTCCCCCCCTTTCATTGCCCTGCTTCCCCCCCTTCCACTTCCCTGCTTCCCCCCCTCCCACTGCCCTGCTTCCCCCCCTTCCACTTCCCTGCTTCCCCCCCTTCCACTGCCCTCCTTCCCCCCCTTCCACTGCCCTGCTTCCCCGCCTTCCACTGCCTGCTTCCCCCCCTTCCACTGCCCGGCTTCCCCCCCTTCCACTGCCCTGCTTCCCCCCCTTCCACAGCCCTGCTTCCCCCTCTTCCACAGCCCTGCTTCCCCCCCTTCCACTTCCCTGCTTCCCCCCCTTCCACTGCCCTGCTTCCCCCCCTTCCACTGCCCTGCTTCCCCCCCTTCCACTGCCCTGCTTCCCCCCCTTCCACTGCCCTGCTTCCCCCCCTTCCACTGCCCTGCTTCCCCCCCTTCCACTGCCCTGCTTCCCCCCCTTCCACTGCCCGGCTTCCCCCCCTTCCACTGCCCTGCTTCCCCCCCTTCCACTGCCCTGCTTCCCCCCCTTCCACTGCCCTGCTTCCCCCCCTTCCACTGCCCTGCTTCCCCCCCTTCCACTTTCCTGCTTCTCCCCCTTCCGTAGCATGGAAGCAATCCCCCCTTCCTGCCAGGAGCATGGGAGAGGGGACCATGGGAAAGGGGACCATGGGAGAGAGGCGGACAGGGCAAGCGCGTCGCAGAGCGGGGTACTATGTGGTGTGACGCGTCGGGCTAGCGAGGGATTGGCGCTGGGCTAGCGAGGGATTGGCGCTGCGTAAGGGCGGGATTGGCGCTGCGTATGGGCGGGATTGGCGCTGCGTAAGGGCGGGATTGGCGCTGCGTTAGGGCGGGATTGGCGCTGCGTTAGGGCGGGATCGGCGCTGCGTTAGGGCGGGATCGGCGCAGCGTTAGGGCGGGATTGGCGCAGCGTTAGGGCGGGATTGGCGCAGCGTTATGGCGGGATTGGCGCAGCGTTAGGGCGGGATTGGCGCTGGCGAGGATATAGCTGTTCAGGTCTTTCCGTAGCGCGCCCTGGAGTGCTTGTGTTGCGTGCTGGTTCGGGACTAGCATGCTGCGCGGGGGCGCGATTTGGTACGAAGTAGTTGTTAGTGTTACTGGAACTTGGTTCCGCTACCAGAGACGCACATTTTTCTACTGACATGGTAGGTAAGCACTGTGTTCGCGAGCGAGAATGGCGGGAAGGAGCCATTGCCACTGAGTACAGAGTAAAAAGCAAAAGCTTTGGATCTTGGTGTAGCGGGTGGAAAGGCTTTGCTTGTTCCGTCGCTGGGTTGGGACGGGCGTCGCATAGCACGTCACCTCTCCCCGATCTCAAAATCGCACCCCTCGGGTGTGTATTTGGTTACCGTGTTTCTGTCGCGCCCGTTTTCGCGTGTAGTACAACTCAAAACCTTTGAGTCTTGAGTTTGGTCTGTCCGCTCGCTTTAAACGCACCGTTTGAGAGCAGTTGCAGTGTGCTTCTGTCAGCCGTCAATGGAAAAGGCAAACAGTTGAATGTTGACGGCAATCGTCAAGTTTGTTCTGTCCGCCACCAGAAACAAGGGTTTGGTGAAGAAACGCTGCTTATCCCCCACAACTGGTTCGTCTAGCTTGCTGGATCTCACCTTCCCCAATCCACCAGTCGAGAGTGCTTCACAAAGCTGGTGCTTACAACTTTTCTTCCAACCACCAGCTTCACACTTCCTGCATCTGCAAATCCCAGGATTCCTGCACTGTGCCTGGCTTGTCATCGGCCTCTCGTGTGTGACACTACTCGCAAGCTCGACTCGGGAAATTCCATAAGTCCCCGTGTGCCAACGTCTGACGTGAGCGGCTCACATCAGCGTTATCATGGCCTCCGAGCTTGATCAGTCCCTCGACGATATCATCAAGTCTAAGAAGTCTTCCGGTCGTGGCGGAGGCAGAGGGGGACGCGGATCCGGATCTGGTAGGGGCTATGGTCCCGTTCGCAGATCCGGACGAGGCGGTTTTCGACCAACACCATATGGCCAGGCAAGCGGATCTCCTATCTCGCCATCCAGATCTCACCTTTAACCTGGTTCTGTATTCAGAGCCAGGAAGGTTTCTCAGACTACCTTAAATTCTTCAAGGCTTTCTGCGCTGCATCTCTGGTCATCGCTGGGAAGATTCGTCGAGGAGATTTTTAGAATTCGTCGATGGCGTCCAAGGGGTGGGATTTATCTACGATGAGCGATTTACGGAGAGCCGTGTGGTGGGATCGGTTGTCGTGGAATCGTCCAACGATTTGTCCCTCAGCGCCTGGTTCCGGGATCGCCTGACGTGGCTCCTGTCTTACCTCGAACCATCTTGGCGGGCAGACATGTTGGTGACAACTAACTTCATAAGCTTTTCCATTGTTTCGCCGCCGATTATCTAAAAGCTGGATTTCTGGGGCTTGTAGGAAGAGGTTGTCAGTTCGTAACATGTACATCTACAGCTGTACTGCCGTTAACACGTTTCCTTCCTTGCGTTTTTTCGCCAGCCTGCTGCCGCCTGGCAACACGACATGTACGATGCTGACGCAGTTGCAGTTCCAGCAGCCGGTCGCGCCGCAGGGCAAGGCATCGAGACAGGAACGAAGCTCTATGTGTCGAACCTCGACTATGGCGTGTCGAACGATGACGTTAAGGTGCGAATCATCTTTGCACTTTAAGCGTGTTTTTTTCCTATGCGGGGATCCTGGTGGTTCTAACCAGCCCCACCACTTCTTGCTTCAGGAGCTTTTCTCGGAGATTGGAGAGCTCAAGCGCTTCTCGGTTCATTATGACAGAAGTGGGCGATCCAAGGTAAGCGTGTTTTTGTAATCGTTCACATCGCCTACTCGTTTTTTATATTCTAGATGCTGACTTCCCATTTTCGTGGTCTCTTACAGGGTACAGCCGAGGTTGTGTTCGCACGGAAAGCAGATGCTTTGGCAGCCATGACTCGGTACAACAACGTTCAGCTTGACGGGAAGCCTATGAAGATTGAGCTGATTGGTTCCACTGTGGCTCCAGCTGTTCCGCCTGTCGCGAGGGTAGCAGTTGCACCAGCTATTGTTGCGCCGTTCGGCTTTCCTGCTGGGTAAGCTTCTCCAAGAATCAGAGTTATCTTGAGTTATCTTGAGTTCTTTTGAGCTATTTTGAATCTTCTAACAGCTATGAAAGTAGGCTGACAAAGCTCTTGTTTTCTGTTTCTCCTTGCTCATCAGGGGTGGTTTCGGAGGACGTGGGCGAGGTGGACGTGGAGGGGGACGAGGGAGGGGAAGAGGGAGAGGGAGAGGGAGAAAGTCTGAGGCTCCCAAGACCCAAGAGGAGCTTGATGCTGAGCTTGACCAGTACAACGCCAAGAGGGACACCATGCAGTCGTGAGCGTCATGATTTGTTAGGTTCTCGGCCAGCCAGTACCGTTTTCTGTCTGTATTCCCACGTTAGGTGTTAGGCTGATCGCCGGGCTCTCGTTGGAGAACTAGGGTTTTGTGACAGGACAATATGGTCATTGCCAGGGTTTGACACACTGACCTCAATTTTCATGTCTACTATTACCATTTATTAGGAAGGACTAAAATAGCTGGGTGAAGTGCCCTGATTGCCCTGATTTCAGGGTCTTATGCGGTAGGTATTTGAAATCAGACTTGCAATATTGAATCCTCCGATAATGCAGTGAGAAGGTAAAATAGCGAAGGCTGGCCAAACTTGAAAGAGGGCTCCCTCTGGTGACTTCTCTTGGAAACTTCGGCTGACAAATCTCTGTTCCAATGTGACGCGGGTAGGAAAAATGAAGTGTGAACTCAAAGCTGATTGGATCCCGCCGATATGATCCTTGCGAGACGGAACCCGCGATGTGCCAAGGGTGTATTTCTGACAAGTTTTCCTCGTCAGGGTTAGCGATTTCCTGTGCAACTGTTGCATGGCGAGTGCATGCGACAGGTTGAGGCTTTTGCATCAAGTTGGGCCCAACTCGGTTTTCAAGTTGGGCCAGTGTTCATAATTGCTGCAAATAGCACTTCTCCATTTCCGCTGCGAAGTGTTAAGCAGTAGCCCTGGGTAGACCTGAGTGTCTCAGCGTCGTCTGCCCACGAAGCGTCTGTGTGTCCAGTAAGAACCACTGGCCTGCGTCCTCCTAGCACTAACCCCATGCCCGATGTACTAGCAAGATAACGCAGAACCCTCTTAGCGGCAGACCAGTGCTGCGGTCGGTGTCTGCCTCTGGCCACAAAGCGAGCCAGGATGCTGAGAGGGTATGCGAGATCTGGGCGAGTGCAAGTCATCAGGTACATGAGGCAACCCACCAGCTCTGCGTAGGGGCCGCTGGGCTCTACCAACTCCTCAGGTACTGGAGCGGAGAGTCTGTGGTCTACAGGCAGAGGGGTGGGCTGTGCAGAGGAGAACTAAAGGCTGAACCTCTGAAGGACCTGGCGCACCAAGTGTGACTGAGTCAGGGTGATGGTGCGCGATGCTCTGTCCCTGGAGATCTGCAAGCCAAGGTAGCGGCGCAGTTCTCCAAGGTCAGTGCAGGTGTGTCTCTTCAGCAGCTCTGCCTTCACGGAGGCCAGTGCGTCCCTGTCTGCCGTGGCAAAGACCAGGTCGTCGACGTAAACAAGGATGTAGAACGGAGTCTGGCCAGCACGAACGAAGAGTGAAGGGTCTGCGGAAGACGGAAAGAACTGCAGGTCAGCAAGGGTAGCACGGAGAGTGTCGTGCCACTCCCGGGGAGCCTGGCGCAGGCCGTAGACGGGGCGCCGCAGGAGCCACTGGGTCCCAGAAGGGAAGGTGCCAGTAAAGCCCGGAGGGCGACGCAGGTAGACCTGCTCGTGTAGGCTGCCCTGAAGGAAGGCAGTGGAGAAGTCGAGGGAGTGAAGCTCGTAGTCACGCTGAGCAGCTAGGTGTAACAGAACCCGAAGAGTAGTCATCTTCGGGGTCGGAGCGAAAGTCTGGAAGAAGTCCACCCCCTCGCGCTGACTGAAGCCTCTAGCCACATAGCGCGCCTTGAAGACAGGCGGCTCTCCAGGAGGGCGCTTCACCTTGAAGAGCCAGCGGCCATCGACTACGTTCACCCCAGGTGGGGGAACTGCGTCGACGAAGGTGCCGGTGGATCTCCAAGATGCCATCTCCTGCTCCATGGCAGCTATCCACTGCGAGGCCCAGGGTCCCGAAGTCGCCTCAGCGTAAGTGCGAGGGGTCGGGATGTCGAAAGCGTCTGGGTCACCCTCAGGGACTAGCAGCATGGAACAGAGATGGGGAGCAGCCTCGGAGAGGAAAGCAAGCTCGAACTGGCGGTCCTCCAGGACGTCACTGCCAAGGGCAGGAGCACCCCCGACAGACGGAGGACAGGCAGGGTCAGAGACCAGAGCGGTGGCGTAGTCAAGGCGGCGGGTAGAGGCGAAGTCAGCGACAGCAGCGACAAGAGCGTCAAGGCACGAGACCGGAACAGACGGGTCGGTAACGAGAGAGGCAAGGACCCGAGGAACGAGAGGACGAGCGGCACGAAGGTAGTCGGACAGCGGGGGGGGCGCAACAACAAGGGAGGACGGAGGAGGCGACGGCAGAAGGGGAGGACGAGACGCGTGGGAACGAAGCAACATAGGGTGGGAGCGCAAGACAGGCGAGGCAGGACGAGCACGGGAGGGGCGGTGAGACCAGACGTGCGACGGAGGAGTCGGGTCAGGAGACAGGGGAGGGGACACAGGAGGGGAACGAGGGGGGAGACGAGCCGGGGACGAGTCCGGCGGAGGAAAAACAGGGTCGTAGACAGGAAGAGGAGGAGACGGTCGGGGAGGAACCGACGCAGGGTCGGGGGACGGAAGGCCGAGCAGGCGAAGGGCTGACACCGGCGGGGACTGCTGCTGCGGCGGCACAACAGCGACACCTGGACCGCAAGGTGCTCCTCGGCTACCACCGGCACTCTCCACACCAGCACCCCCAGAGGGGCCACCCCCAGGGCGACCGGGACGAGCACCCCCAGAGTCAGCGAACGGGTGCTGCGACGACGGCGGCGGCGGCGGCGGCGGCGGTGGCGGCGGCAGCGACAACGACGGCTGCAGCGGCGGCAGAGGCGGTGGAGGAGGGGACTGGTGAGGGGACGCCGGGGGAGGGGCGGCCGGCGAGGAATGAACAGGAGGGCCACCAGAGTCAGAAGACTCCTCAACCGGGTCCGCCGACGGAAGGGGGGTGACGTGGGACACACCAGAGGGGGCGGGACGGGGAGGAGGAGGAGGAGGGGCAGGGAATACCGGGGAAGGAGTGACCAGGAACAGGGGGGGGGTAACCGGGGGACCACGGTGGGGAAAGCGGCGGTAGTAGGAGACGGACTCGTCAAAGGTGACGTCACGAGAGTGAAAGAAGCGGTGAGACGGCGGGTGGTAAAAGTGCCAGTCGGACGCGTCAAGGGGAAAACCGAGAAAGACACAGGGAAGGGTGCGGGCAGTGAGCTTGTCCGTGCCGGAGGCACGGACGTGAGCAAGGCAGCCCCAGACGTGGAACGCAGACGCGTCACCAGGAGACCCAGTCCAAAGACGGGTCGGTGAAACCTGCGGCTGCTGAGGGTGCGGCCACAGGTTAAGCTGGTGAGAAGCGTAGCGCACAGCGAACGGCCACAGAAAATGGGGTGCACCGGCATGGATCATGGAGGTGCGAGCGACCTCCATGACCAAACCGATGCGTCGCTCAGCGACCCCATTCTGCTGTGGGGAGTCCGGTAGGGTGAACGTCTGGGTGATGCCCTCCGCACGACAAAAACGACCAAGGACACCGGAGGCAAACTCGCCACCGCGGTCTGAGTGAAGACGCAAGACAGGGAGACCGCGATGGACACGCGCAGAGACAAGCCAGGGGATGAGGGCGCCAGGCACGTCGGCCTTGCGCTCCAGTGGAAAGACTGCGGTGTAACGAGTGAAGTCGTCGATAAGCACAAGGAAGTAGCGCTCTCGACGCGGCCCAGGGACGGGGGCGGGGCCCCAGACGTCCAGGTGCAGGGTCTGCAGCGGCGCGGCGGTAGGGGGAAACGAGGAGGAGTGCGGGGCACGGCGAAGCCGACCCTCGACACAAGGCGTGCAAGGTGGGGCTGGAGAGGAGGGAAACGCGGGGAGCGAACCTGGGAGACCAAGGACGAGACCGTGCTGGGACATGTGACGCAGACGCGGGAGCGCAGGGTGACCTAGGCGGTGGTGCCACAGGAGGGTCGGGTGAGTGAGGGAGCGACAGGAGCAGGTAGCAGCAACCTGGGTAGACGCAGCCACCTGAGGGGGCGCTCCAGCCGGGGGGGTCGCGGTGTCCAGAGTGAACAGGCCGGACACCGGGTCCCGGGGGAACGTGGACAGGGGGGCACCAGTGGCGGCCTCGGTACAGACAGCATACCGCTCGTGACCAGGGAACGTAGTGGTGACGCCAAGGTCCTGGAGGCAGCCGACACCAACTAGGTTCCTGGAGAACGAGGGGATATGCAAACCTGTAAGAGAACCCGAAGGAACCGCCGGACAGGGAAGGGTGGTGGAACTGCGGGCGACTACCGGACCGCCGGAGGGGTCAGCAAGAGAAACGGCAGCAGGAACAGGAAGCGGCGTCAGGGTGGTGGAGTCGCGGAAGAAACACCGAGAGGCGCCAGAGTCCAGGGTGAAGGACAGCGAAGCCGAGGGGTCTGGCGACGGAACGACGGCGGAAGCACCTAGAATACACAAAGCAGGGGATCCTACGCCTGACGCAGCAGGGGAGGCTAAGCTAGGCACACCTACACTAGGCAACAGTGAGTAATAAGCGGGAAGCACACTAGAGTCATCAGCATACATCACATGCAGAGCGGAAACAATGGCATCCATGTCCATATCAAAAATCTGAATCTGACGACTAAGCAAACTGTGCCAGTCCGGGAGGTCTGGCGACGGGCCGAAGCGCTGACGAAAGAGGTCGTCCAGGCGACGAAAACAGCGGGGAGTGGAGTGACCGATCTTACCGCAAACGAAGCCGCGGCGAGGACCGGTCTGGATCTGGTACTGACAACGCCCGCCGCCAGAGCCACCACGCGGCACACCACCACGCGCCCGGCCACCGCCAGCGCCGGGCCACCCTGGTGGAAGGACACTCGGCTGCCGCGTCTGCGGCGGCTGCTGCGGCTGCTGCGAAGGCTGCGACTGCGGCGGCTGCTGCACCTGCAGGGGCGGCGACTCAGCTGAACTGGGCAGGGTCCCCTCGTCCACTCCAGCACCAGGCGACCCGACCCCACCACTACCCCCGCCCGCACCCCTGCCGCCTCCTCCGCTGCGCCCAGCCTTGGGGCGGCGGCCCTTCCCCGAACGGACCTGCGCTGCAGCAGCAGTCTCAGCCACTGCGGCAGAGCCGTCGGAGAAGGTGCACTGAGCGGGGGCACAACCCTGAAAGATAGGGACCGGCACGACACCGCTCGCCTGGGCGATGGAGCGGTGACGGGTCTCTATCACAGTCAGGGTGTCTACAAAGTCAGTGAGGGTGAGGTCTGCGGGGTGAACGCTAAGAAAGCGGTCGCGGGCGACAGCAAGGCGGTCAGGGAGGCGGGTGGCAAGCAGGTAGAGGGTAGAGGTAATGGGCGGCTGGTGGGCTCTAAGCTGGGCGTCAGTGCAGGCAGCGCGCCAGGTCTCATCTATCGAGCGCAGGTGGGCAGCGA